TAATACTTTTAATATAGCTTATAACAAAGTTATTCTTTCTTCTTAATAGTCCTTTATATTTGAGCAATAAATGATATGAAACTCAATCCCTGGGGAAGCAATTGATAAATTATCTTATGTCAATGAAGGTGATGATAATGAAGATAGCATTGCTATAACTAATAATCAGCATTTTATTCTGATACAAGTAATACAATTTTTCAATTCAGAGGTTATTGATTCTTCATATCCTTTTTGCTCAGATGATTCATCTAAATTTATGAATCTCTGTTTCAACTTACATGGAGAAAAGAACCCGATTACTTTTTCCCAATTTGAAGGTGAAAGAAAGTAATAGATATCATGCTTATTTCTCTTGTGGATATGCAATTTATAAAAATTACCTAGGGCATAATACTTGTTTCATAGCACTTTGGAAAAACTTTCTAGTGCATGAACATTCTACCCAAGAGACTTGAAGGGAATATATTAACTTAACCCCCTTAATTCTTCTTTCCACTTACAAGTTTGAATCCACATTTTCCAGGTATTCTAATCTGTCCTCTTTTCAAAAAGCTTTCACCTAAGGAGAACTTTCACTTTCCCTTCTTTTCTTACTTCAGATGCTAGGAAAATAAAAGACTTGTTTAGAGCGTTATGTGTGGTTCATTCGAAACTAAGTTTACAACTTGAATGGTTATTTTCAACCTTAACCAGACATGAACATTATTGCTAATTAAACCCCTTTTTCATCAGTTTACAGACTGCTAGGCTGACATGGGATATGCTTAAGCAGGGGAGAAATTTGTTATAAGACAGCTGTTCCAACAGTTCCCATTTGATTATTATATGAAGAACACACTTAGTCTTGTAACATTTCTTAAATTTCTTTTATAGTGGAATAAGATGCAATTGTGGTAGTCAGGTTTAGGATTTCAAGAGAACATAAACAAAGCCTCACACGTAGTTGTGTTATCTAACTAAGGGATTTAATGATAATACACAATCTGATTCAGTGGATATAGTCATGCATACAAGAATACTTGTACACCAAATACACACCATTTCACTGCCATTCTCTGACTCCATTTCAGTCTGGTTTAGAGAAAAGAAGATACATGCGTGTAAATCCAGGACTGAGCAATTGGCTCAGTCTTGAATAGTAAGCAATTTTTGGGTGGCCTGCAGATATTAGAGACTGGGCAATTTTATACTAAGGTAGACAAAGGGATACTGGATGGTCCAATCTAGGGTAAGCAAAACCCAGTCTGCTTTGGATACACTAATTATGAGTAGGTCAGATAAGTCTAAAAGCAGGGTTTGTATTCAGAGACTGTACTCATGGATAAAGTTTATTTTTCAGTCGTGTCTGACTCTTTGTGACCCCATTTGGGGTTTTCTTGGTAGTTTGCCATTTCCTTCTCCAGCTCATTTTATGTAACTGAGGCAAACAGGGTTAAGTGACTTGCCCTGGGTCACACAGCTAAGTAAATGTCTGGGGCCAGATTTGAACTCACTGAGATGAGTCTTCCTGACTCCAGGCCCAGGTGCTCCATCCACTGCACCCCCTAGCTTCCCCTTCATGGATATTTACTATCTACTCTATTTGCTATTCAGATATTCTTCCTTTTCTGAGTGATATTGGCTTCCTCTTCATTTCTGCCTATTAACTTCCCTGTCTTCCTTCAAGACTTGGTTCAAATCTTACCTTCTACAGGAGACCTTTTCTGTGGCTCCAAACTGCTAATGCTTTCTATTTTGAAACTGTCTTCATGCTACTCCATTTACTTAACATATATGTAGCTAGTTGTCTTCCTCTTTAAAATGAGTTCCTCTAAGGTCTGAGAATATTTATACCTTTCTTAGGATCTTTCTTATGGAAAAAAAAAGTCAGATATGAGACTCAGCTCCAAGCCTGTGCTTACCACTTTAAATTTTTTTCAACACAGATTGTGAGATGAATTAAGCAGAATCCTGTCCAGGGTATTTACGCATCACTCTGTCTCCACCCACGCTGCATGATTCATTAGGAAACCCCTCATATAAGCTGGCCATAAATCAAAGTGCTTGGGATTCTAGGGCTTGGGAGGGCATGGACCCAGACTGAATTTTCACCATACTGGAACATAGTGTGCATTCCAGGTTAGTTTAAGTGGATGTTTTACAATTGTTCAGCAAGGCAAGTTGGAGCTTATTGTGCTAGGAACAGGACAGTTAGGAGGATGGTGACTTCATAAAACTGCCATAGGAGAGCACAAATCCCTTCCTCCCCATCTTTATCATGTGTTTTCAAAGCTCAGGCACACGGAACACTTGAAAATGTCTCTCTGATGATAATTCACATGTTCCTTTAGCATTTTTAAACATCATCACAGCTATACAGTAGGGATACGTTCCCAGATATTGGCAGTATACTTAGAGTGGAAAAGAATGTTCTAGTATAAAATTGTATTGCCATACAAGGTCGCTTTGAATTCCTGCTGCTAACCTTTTATTACCACTTTTAAGTTTTTCCAAGTTCTGCCAAACTTCTTGAACTTAGTGGAATGATTAGAGAGCTTTATAAACACAGAGCTCTTATTGGCCCTTTGAAATCCTTCATGGGAACACCAGAAAGATGACAATAAAGTATACATTAAAAAGCTAAAGAGTTGGAGTTTTGTTTTAAAGATTAATCCTCCCCTAGAAAGGATTCCTTTGTATTATTAGCAGCTTGATAGATGGGCATTGCAACAGCTGTGCTGGTTTTCAGAGAGATTGTTGTGGAAAGCATCGAGCAATGTTTCTCTTTCAAGACTGGTACCACATTTCTGGATGGCCTGGAGATTCTTTGGATATTTAGCAAATTGCCTCTTTTTTAAATTCCCAAATATTTGTTAGAAATACTTCATAATGTAAGTATGTTTCCCTTGGCACCTCCACATGATATTTCTTCTTGTTTTTAGCAGAGTATGGGGAGTTTCATCAAGAAACAAAAAGAGTTTTGTCTTTAAGAACTCAACATGATGTTGCTTCAAGTTGGATTGTGCCAGTTCAAACCTTTGGTGATGGCTGTTTCTTAATGGCCGTAAAGCTTGACCCTCATTTCAATTCAATTTCATTAGGTGGTAAGCAATACAGAACCAGAGTTCTGGAGAAACATTCAGCCAGGATATGTAGATCTGGGAATTCTCTTCAATTCAGTGAACAAATTCAATTCAATAAACATTCATTTAGCACCTACTGTGTGTTAAGTACATGCTAAGTGCTGGGGATACAAAAAGAGGCAAAAAAATAGTCCTTGCCCTCAAGTTTCTTACAGTCTAATGGAGAGACAACATTCAAACAATTATATACAAAACAAGCTATCTACAGGATAAATAGGAGGTAATGAAAAGAGAGAAAGCACTGGAATTAAGAGGGGTTAGGGAAAGTTTCCTGTAGAAGGTGGTGTTTTAGTTATGACTTAAAGGAAGCCAAGGAGGGTGATAGTCAGAGAGAAGGAGGGAGAACATACTACACATGGTAAAAATTCCCAGAAAAAATTCCCAGAGCTGAGAAATGAAGTATCTTGTTGCTGGTACAGCCAGGAGGCCAGGGTCACTGGACCAAAGAATACACATTGGGGAGAAAGGTATAAGAAGACTGGAAAGGTAGGAGGGAGCTAGGTTATAAATGTCTTTGAATGCCAAATAGCATTTTGTATTTGCTCCTAGAGGCAATAGGAAGCCACTGGAGTTTATTGAGTGGGAGGGGGGGTGACATGATCAGACCCATGTTTTAGGAAAATCACTTTAGTGGCTGAATAGAGAATGTACTGGAGTAGAGGAGATTTGGGGCAGGCAGACCTACCAGCAGTCTACTGCAATATTATAGGCATGAGGTGATGAGGGCCTGTATCTGCATGGAGATAGCAATTGAACCCATAATAAGATTCCCAAATGTAAAGAGAAGAGAGACCAGTGGAGGACCAAATAAATCCCAAAGAAGAAGATAAAGTTTTCAGCAAAATACAAAGGTATTTGGAAGAATGGAAGAGTTCGGAAGAAAAATGACCTTCATTTTTGTCTATGTGTGTGAATGCCACATAGTGCATACAAATTGGATGGGAATTCATTCACAAGTTTTCCTTTGGAAAGGGAAAATTAAAACCAAATATTGTTTCAGACAATTAGGAATTATATACTCACCATCAATGACAATGAAGTCACCATGTTTGGATATGAACATAATAATCTGGAATGTGCTACATGCAGAAGAGGAAATGGTAGTGTAGAAAACAAAGGTGAGAAGCAGCTGTGCTAGATCCTGTCACTACAGAGAAGAACAATGGTGGAAGCAAATAAATTTGGGCAGTACAGAGGAATAGATTCAAGAAGGACTCTTGGATATTGTTATTACCAAATGAAAGAGACCAAGAGAATATTAAAAACTACAGGCTTACATAAATACTTTCTCTCTAAAATATCACATTTTTGCAAGGTCCATATGCATTTTTATAAAAAAATCTATGCACATTGAGGGAATCTTTGATGAAAGTTTGAGAAAAGAATGCTTTTGCAAATAGCGTCCTATGGCAGACCACATCTTTAGCGTCACATAATTGACTGAAAGACAGAGAAAACAAAAGATCTCTTTGTGCTTATTATCTGTTGATTACAAATAATAATAATAATAATTGGTTGATTGGGTAGAGCAAAATGTCATCATAAATGCTCTCTTTTATCAAAGTGACTCACATACATATATTAAAATTATATAAGATTCCTTGTCAAATGTGTCAACAGAGATGACTTTGTTTTATGACTAATCTAGATTATATTTCTTCCCTCCAGGGAGTCCCACCTTCCTCCCTTATACTCATCTTTCTCTCTCCCTCCACATAATTGAGACTTACCCAGACCATGCAATACATTTGAGGTTGCCACAGAGGCGACTTCTTTCCCATCAGACCTGTATCATCTTATTACTTCATAATACTAGAAGGGCCACGTCCGGGATCACTCCTTTGCTCATGGTTCTGTCCTTTGCTGTTCCTCTAGGTCTATATCCAATAGTTGCTCTTCTTCTCTCCAAGAGGTACTGTTGAAACGCCACTCTTTCTCTCAAGGAAGCTTTTGTCCAGAACCTTCTCCTTTTCTCTCCAGAAAACAGGGTCCAGGAACTCTTGGCACTCCTACAGAAGACTAAGCTTCACAAACACTTGCCCCTCCATGACTGCTCCTGGCTGTGGCCATCTCCTATATGTGTCTATATATGTATATGTGGCTCCCTCCTTCTCAGAGGCCACATGGTCCCAGTTGCTGGACTCTAGAAAAGCTCTACTAGGGCCTCTTCACTGCCTCCACTTCTGAAGCTGTATGTATTTCTGGAGAAAGATGCACAGGTAAGCAGATGCTTTTTCCCCAGGACCTAAATCCCCTCTCTGGTCCCTGATTTGTGGTCCCTGTTTTTATTCAGCTCTTTCTAAATCTCTTATCTGTGGAAGATATCACTGTTCTCTTTTACATGTATGCCCTAGTCATATTGTAAGTTTCTTATCTCCAATGGTGCTGACTCAGTCAAATCATGGTAAAGAGGTGGGATCGATTCCTTACTTCAAGCAATTATCCTCAGTGAGGGGTAATTGGGTCAGCAAGTACCTAAACCAAGGGTAGTACCCACCTGCATCAAGGATATGGGAGCAAAGATCCAAGTAAATGGTCTCTGGGGATGTATAAACCTCGTATGGGAAAATATCAATATAGACCAGAGGCTTCAGTCTTTAACTCATTTTGACCTGGCACTTTGGGGTCACATCCTCTACATATGCTTCCCGAATGATATTGCTTACCTGCTGGACATCATCAGAAGTATGACTCAGCCTACTTATACCCAACATGTATCTCTCCATTTGTCTCAGAGTCACAACATGTTTAAAAGCTCTATTCAATGACTGTATATACGATCATTATGATCATAAAGGGAAACATATTTGCCAAAAGTATCTTGCCATTGTCATGCAGTCACGAAATCTTGTGCAGAATTCAAGATTCCAGATATGTGTGTGTGTATTTCTATATGTATATATAGATAGACATGTAATACATGTGTGTATGCATACAGCATGTACTATGTGTGCTGACACATCATGAGGTGAACTTCAGAGGAAGAATTAATGGCAATGCTCACTTCAGAATCATACCTTGCCCATCCTCTATGCATGGAACAGTCCTCTGGACTCTGTTACTTATGAATGACATTGTGCTGTTAGCATCAGGCCTCAGCAACTATAGGTGCTTTTGAATGAGATCGATATCACTCAAAAGACTGATAAACATTAGGGTAACTTTACCCTTATCAAACTTGTGCATTCAGATGAAGGGATGCTATGTTTCCATATCACCTAATTTGTAAAAAGACAAAAAAAAACTACTAAAGAATTGATATTCAAAGGTTATAAATGCATGTGGTTTTTAATTCATTTATAAGCAAGTTTATTTTCATGTTTTTGAAATAGATTTTCACTTTTTCCCTATTGCCTTTATGATTACCTTAAATTTTGTCATATGTAACAAATCAGAAACAAATTATCAATACCTATTTTATGAAAAGGTTTTATCTCAATAGTCCACATATTAAAGATAAATTACTAGAAATAAACATGCAAGCAGATCAGTAGTTTGAATTTTAAAGGACCTACAGGCTAGAAAATGGAGGCCCAAAAGGATTAAGTGTCTTGACTTAAGCACTTGGTAGAGTTTAAGCACTATATAAATGTAAGCTTTATTATTGCTCAAGGTCACACAGCTAATTACAGCAGAGACAAAGACCCAACTCTCTTGATTCTTCATTTCTTTGTACTACATCAGCTTGCCTCCCCCCCTTCATTTTTCCTTGTTAAATATATGAGTATTGATGAACAAAGGCCGTCTATTTCACAGGACTCAAAGAATGAACAATAGCTTTTATTCTAGTCTAAGCTCTTTTTCTTTCCTCTATGAATCTTTAGTAGTACCAAAAGGTGTTTTTCCTTGGCATCTTTGGTGGTGGTGATTTAATTTTCCAGCTCAGAGAAGCTGAAACTGAAAATTCATCTATTTTGTGTGAATATGCTCCAATATCCATGATCCAAAGCCAAGTCTTTATAGAAAACCCAAGTGTACAGATTTTCTGAATGTCATTTATTATAGCTTTCTTTAACATTCAGCACAGACATTATGAAGGTAAACTGGGCTGATAATCTAAAACTTATTTTTAGGGAAAAAATGATAATTCAGTGGTTTTTTTACTTTACTTTTACAAAATAGAAAATGTAAAAAAAAAAAAAAGCAACCACTACCTTGGTGAATTTTGTTTTTATATACTTACTAGAGTGGCAGTGTGGCAAAGTAGATTGAATGCTGGGCATCTGGGTTCAATTCTAGGATTCAGATCTGGGTTCAGATCTTGCTTCCAGTACTTATTAGTTGTATGACTATAGATTAACAATTTTAGAGCCTTAGATAAGTGTCTAAGACTCTTAGTTATAGAAATGTTGGGATATATATAGGTATGTATATATCTTTGTGTGTGTGTATGTTGGGGTGAATTTCACTGGTCATATGTCATTTATATATTAGCAATAATAGCAGATACCATTTCTTTAAAATTTCAGCAAAAATGGAGATAGGCAAATGTTCCTGTTTTCAAGAAGTGGGGAAAAGATCATTTAAAATAAGTTTTATGTCAATTACCGGGGAAAATATAAGATGCATTATTAAGTGGATGGTTCACGAATACTTAACAAAGATAGATACTGATTATGATAAGCCAGTATAGGATCAATGAAAACAAATCATGCCAGACTAAATTAATTTTCTTTTGTTGTTGTTGTTATTTCATTCTTTGTATCTCTAGCATTGGCACAGTGCCTGTCACATAGACATTTAATAGGTGCTTATTATAGATAATAATGGTTAGCATTTATATACAGCTTTATGGTTTGCAAAGTGCTTTACAAATATTACCTCATTTTATCCTCACAACAAATCTGGGAGGCAGTTGCTATTATCTTAATTTTATAGATGAGGAAATTGAGGCAGAAGTTAAATGGTTTGCCCAAGGTATTACATATAGTAAAGTTTCTTTTTAAAAAAGTTTTATTGCTATGTTTTGTAATTACATTACAAACATTTTCAGATTACTCCTACTTCAGGAGACATGTCTTGCCACAAAGTGACAGTCAATTAAAACTAATAATATAGTGACCTCATCCAAAAATGCTTATGATATTTCACATCTGTAAGACCTCCCCACATCATCTTCCTATTATTCCCTGATGGGAAAAAAGAAGAAAAGAAAACCCATTTCATAAAACATAGGCAAAACAATTTTCCTCAATGATTATACATATATATATACACATACATATGTGTATATATATATCATATATACCTATATATGGGGGTTATATGTGTGTATATGTATATGTGCATATATGTATGTATGTATATATGTGTGTGCGTATGTGTGTATATATGCATAGTATGTGTGTGTATTTCTGTGCCCTAAATCTATTACCTCTGTGTAATAGATAGCATGTTTCATCATTAGTCCTTTAGAATAATGAATGGTCATTATATTGATTGTAGGTCTTATAAGCTTTCAAAGTTATTTAATTTTTATAATGTTGTTATATTAAATAATTCTCATTATTTGAACTTAGCTCTTTTTGACTCCAGGTCCAGTGCTATATTCACTATGCCATCCACCTACCTCTGAAATCAAGGGAATTCTGGAAATATCTCTCTATTGGTCTGAGTATAAGTTACCCCCAAATACAGGTGATACCACTGAAATGAGATCTCTTTGAAAAAGATATATGTGTATGTGAAAATAACATCAATTATAGGTCACTCACATGCTTATACAAGCTAGATTAAGGGGAAAATGCAATCAATAAATCAGAAAAGTATATGTTGTTTTCAACAAGTCCCTCAAAATAACCTTGTGGATAAGGTGATTAAACATGGGCTGGGTGATAGTATAGTTATATCGATTCAAAATTTTCTGAATGATCATAGCCAAAGAGTGATAATCATTGTATCAGCATCATTTTAAATCAAGGTTTCTTAATCTGGGGTCCATAAACTTGTTTTTAAACATATTTTCATAATTTTTCAGTATAATTGGTTTCCTTAGTAATCTGTTTATTATATTTTATGCACTTAATATATTATCCTGAAAGGGGGTCCTCTCTAGACTGCCAGTCTAGTAAAACACACCCAAAAAAGTTAAGAGCCTATGATTTGGAGGGAGTTATTTTATGATCTTCAATCCTGTTCTGGTCACTATTTTTGCCACTGATTTGAATGAAGATACTGATGACATGTTTTTCCAATGTTTATATGACCAGTAACTAGGAAGAATAGTTTGAACATTTGATTGACAGAATCAGGATCCTAAAAACTTATAATAAATTTGGATCATTGTTCTACCTAACAAGATAAAATTTAAAAGTACTATAGTCAGATGCAAAACATTAATTAAACAAGTATATAATGTGTGTGGATAGCCATTTATATGAAGACACAGATTTTAGTGGACTAAAAGTTCAATACAAGTGCAAAAAAAGTTAAGGTAATTTTAGGCTACATTAATAGAAATATAATGATCTTGAAAGACTTCAATGAAAGATATTCTGAAAACTAGATAATGCAGTAGAAAGAGCCCTGGACTTGCATTCAGGAAGATCTGAATTCAAATGTGACCTCAGATACTTACTAGCTATATGACCCTGGGCAAATCACTTAACTTCTGTCTTCCTCAATTTTCTGATCTGCAAAATGGGGATACCACCTACCTTCTAGGGTTGCTAGGATAAAATAGATAATATTTGTAAAGCACTTAGCACAGTGCCCAGTGTGTAGTAGGCACTAAGTAAATTCTTGTTCATTTTCTTTTAATATGGTTTAGGTTTAAGAAACAAAAGAATTCAAAAGCTTGTACACTTCTCAGAAGCTTTATTCCTATGTGGCATGGATACTTTCTTCAACAAGAGAGCTGGCAAACACCAAACAACATCACACACAAAAAGAAGTTGACTAATTCCCGAAGTGGAAGTCAGTCAAAATCTATTGTCTGCGTGCGAAGTGGAGGATAGTTCTAGCAAAGGTAAAAATGAACACTAAGTTAGAAAGAAAGTTAGATATGGAAAGATGAATCTGTCTACAATTACAATAATTTCAACCTAACCTACTTAAATAAACAGTTTTTGCCAAAACGGAAGTAGATAAAAGTAAAAGTCTTAAATATCACCATGTCTTAGAGAAGTTTAACCAAGGTAAAACACTGACTTCATAAAGAGCCTACAAGAACCTGAGTCATTGCATCCAGCAAATACTTGATTACTTTGCCAAAGAGATA